GTAACGGGATGTTCTCACCATAACGCCGTTAAGTCTGAAACGGAAAAAAAAATCAAAACTCCGTTTATAAATAAATGGCTCTGGAACAGTTGGGTTTAGAAGTGAGCGGCGTTGACGGCGACGCTAACGGCGTTAGTAAAGGCGGTGGAGAAAGTAACGAAGGCGGAGATGACGGCGTTAAGACGGCGAGGCTTCCTCGTTGGACAAGACAAGAGATTCTGGTTCTGATTCAGGGGAAGAGAGTGGCGGAGAACAGAGTCCGGCGAGGGAGAGCTGCTCTCGGGTCGGGTCAATTGGAGCCCAAATGGGCTTCCGTCTCATCTTACTGCCGTCGTCACGGCGTGAATCGTGGGCCGGTTCAGTGCCGGAAAAGATGGAGCAATCTCGCCGGAGATTACAAGAAGATTAAAGAATGGGAGTCTCAGATTAAGGAAGAAACAGAGTCGTATTGGGTCATGAGGAACGATATCCGCCGTGAGAAGAAGCTTCCTGGTTTTTTCGATAAGGAAGTTTACGATATTGTTGACGGTGGCGTGATTCCTCCTCCGCCGGAGCCCGCTCTTGCGCTTGGTTTGGCTCCGGCGTCGGCGGAGGGATTGTTGTCTGGTTTTGATCGGAGAGAACCGGAGAGAAGTCAAGAAAATTTGAATTCGGATCAAATATCAGTTCCGGGTAAATTCAGATCAAATCTAAAGTTTTTATTTTTATTTTTATATGTTCGTCAGTCATATAAACTGACTCCAATTCAATGAAATTTAGTTATGGATAAGGAGAAACAAACAGTTTGTGGAGCAGATCAAGGTTTGTGTTTTCTTGTTCTTTATGTTCCTTCAAAAGATGTTTTCATTTTTCTTATATGTCTGATTACAAATTGATTACGTCTTACTTTAGATACTATTATTCGTTAACCGACAATCCGAAATACGAATTGACCATTTGATGTACCATTAGATCGCTCGCGCTGTGTTCGAACCAGTGACCTGCCGGTAAAAATTTGTTTTGGGGTTAGTACAAAGTTATATTAAAGGGTTTATCTTGATAAAATGTGCCAATAAGTTTAAGGTCTTACAAAACACTATGGTTTCATTTGATAGAAACAACAGAGAAAAATGTTTCATTTAAAGGATACACATGTTTTACCTCTTTATGTGTCTCATCTCATGACCATTTTTTGCTTTGATCTATTCCCATAGATAGATAATGAGAGTTTATAAAATGCAGCTCTGTTAAACTATGTTACAAACGTAGTCCCTTAACTATATTTTCATGGAATAGTTGATTTTGTACTTGAAGGTAGAGAGAAAGAGAAACATCCAGAAGTAGCAAACGCAGAAGCTGCATCGACGTCACAAGAAGAGAGAAAGCGTAAACGAAAAGCGGTTGGTGAAGATGAAGAAGAAGCAACAAAGAGCATGCAGAATCAATTGATAGAGATACTAGAAAGAAACGGGCAATTATTGGCGGCACAGCTCGAGGTTCAGAATTCAAACTTAAAACTAGACAGAGAGCAAAGAAAAGATCACAGTGATAGCTTAGTCGCTGTTCTCAACAAGCTCGCAGATGCTGTGGCGAAAATCGCAGATAAGTTGTAGATTTAGTACTAAA